CACAGCACGCCGGAGCGCGCCATGGCCCTGCGGGCGACACGGCAAGCCGCGCCGCCTAAGGCACCAGGTGCCCTTGGAATGGCGTCACCCAAATCCAGCCAAAAATACCGGTCAAATTAGCAAAACTAACTCAAAAGACCTCGCCAACCAGGTACGTCAATGCGAGGTCTTGGAGTCAACGCGAACGCGTTTGATTGATCGATCGACAATCACACACAAGGACGGCATCTGAGTCAATTGCTCAGAAATTGCATGTGCCAAGTTGGCAGATGACGGACAGTACCTCAGCAATCGAACAAGAGCAGCTGCGTCGTCTCTGGTCCTACAACTCTGGTGTTGACTTTGAGAGCCTCTCAATGCAGCTACCCGCGCCATGAAAGATGTCCAATCAGCTGGCATTGAATCGAGTCCAATATCACTAATCGCGCCAAGTGTGTACTCTCGCACCTCCACATCTGCGCTGTTGCAGCACTGGTTTTGGTCCAAAATCGCTCCTGGATCATCGTGCCTCTCCAATGCGACCATCATTCTAGAATTGGTGGACGCCAGAATGCTGGTCCCGTTGAGGTCGCCAGATTGCAATTGTGCTACACATCTGCGTCGTTAGCGCTAGCCGCTGGTGCCGCGCGCCACGTGTCTGCCCTCGATGACGTTATCGCATTTGCTAGGATCGGACGTCGGGTGTCTGCGCATGGTGCCTTCAAGCTCTCCGTTTTCGGACGCGAGGATGGATGGATGGATGGGTGCTGCGTGGATCTTTTGTTTTCATTACGCACGCCCGTCACCTTCGACGAGCACAGGTTGATCGATGGTGATCGGGCGTGTCAGCCACAATCATTAGTCAAAGCACCATGCCCATCAGCGGACGTCGTCTCCTCGTCTTCATCGTCGCGATCCTCGTGTCGCCGACGCTGGCCGCCCCGCCGCCGCTCCTCGGACCGTCCGTGGACGTGACCCAGTGGACGTGCGTCGCGTCCGAGTCGCGCTACGTCACGGCGCGGCTCACCAACGGCAACCACAGCCTCGAGTGCGTGACGGCCAACGCGACGACCGACGCGTGCCTCTTTGCATCGCACGCCGACGAGTGCTCGTCACCGACCGGGTTTATCTATTCGTGCACCAACTACACGCACGGGTCCCGGGACCCGACACCGGCCTGCGTCGCGCTCTACAGCTCTCTTGTCCGCGGCGACGCGCTCTCGCTACAGACGACGGCCTTGTACTTCTACTACAACGGGCTAACGTGGGGCGTCCGCATCGTGACCGCGCTCGGTATGGTGCTTCTCGGCGGCGTCTTGGCCACGCACGGCTACTACCTCTTCCGCGTCCTCCTCGTGCTCTATGGCCTCGTCGCCTTCTCGCTCGCGTTCGCGTCGCCGCTCGACTGGATCGACAATTCCACGACCGAGACCATCCTGTGGATCGGCGGCGCCATCCTCTTTGGGCTCTTCTGCGCCGCCTATTACGCGCTCGCACGGCTCGTCACGGGCGCCATCTCGGGCACAGCGCTCGCGATGCTCGTTCTCGAGTACGTCCACCTGTCGCCGACGTACGCGAAGCTCTCCGTGTCCGGGGCCGGGGTTGTTGGCGGCTTGATGACGCTGCGCTGGCCGCGCCCGCTCTTGCTTTTCCATACGGCGTATCTCGGCGCAGTCGTGGCGGTCTATGGCGGCACCTTCCTGAGCTATGCGATTCCGAACGTGAAGCACACCGTGTTTGACGTGGATCCAATCCAGACGACGTGGACACCGATCTTCTTTGGCGGCCTCTTTCTGCTCGCGCTCCCGCTGCAAGTCTATTATACGGCCAAAGACGTGTATCATTGCGAGACGACCATGGAGCGAATGGCGCGAAAAGCGGTCGGTTCGACCGAGTCGCCAGCGTACTCGGACGTGCTCGACCCGTCGGTGGTCGCGGCCGAGATGGCGGCCAAGGAGCACTGGTTCCTCCAGTGGCTGATGTGGACGCGACGCTAAAATCAGGATCAATGTTTCAATCTATCAAGAGTGCGATTGGTGATGGGTGTATATAGAGCTGGTTATTAGTAGTAGAAAAAGGAAGACCCCTCGCGTGCTAGTACCGGGACGAGGCTTACGCGTAGAGCTTGAGCGACCGGTCGAGCGACGTTGACGCGATCAACTCGAGGCCGCGCGAGAGCTTGACGTCCGTGACCGCGGCCGTGTGGTCGTCAAACGTCTTGACCAGGTTCCAGCTCTTCTTGCCAGCTTCTTGGAAAATGCTGATGCCCTTGCCGGTCGCGACACCAAGGTAGGCGCCGCTGTGCTCGAACGAAACGGCGTGGATTGGCGCCTGCAGCTGCAAGTCGAACACACTCTTGAGCTTGCGGAGATCCCAAAACTTGACGAGGCCATCGGCACCGCCGGACGCGAGGTGGTACCCGTTCTCGGAAAAGCTCAGGCTCGTCACAGCCTTGCCATGCCCCTCGAACGTCGCGGCCACGGACGCCGACGCAACGTCCCAGACGCGGATCGTCGCGTCGCCTTGGCCCGACGCAAAGATCGCACCGTCCGGGTGGAACTGCAGCGCGTGCATCTCCGAGGCTTGCGCCGACACCTTCTTCAAGAGCGTGGCCGTGCCGAGGTCAAAGAAGCCCCACGACCCGTCTTCCGACGCCGTGCCAAGGTACGACCCCGACGGATGCAGCGAGATGCTCGTGACCGCAGCGTCGTGGCCAGAGAGCGTGTGCCCGACCGAGTAGTTACGCTCGTTCGCGCCCGCGCTCCAGAGCTTGACCGTCTTGTCAGCCGACGCCGTGAGCACCACGTCCGCAGCGGGGTGGAAGAGCACGTCGTTGATCTTCTTGCTGTGGCCGCTCAGCGTCGCCTCAATCTGGCCCGATTGCGTGTTGAAGATCTAGACCGAGGCAAATGAGAAACCAATGCGATAGAGGCTAGCAAACGAGACCTTGGCATCCTTGTCGTTGCCGCCCGTCACGACGAGGTGGTCCTTGATGTCGACGCAAAGCACGCCCGGCTTGTCGCTTTGGTGCAGCGTGTGGCTCGCGGAGCAGCTCATCGCGGCCACATCCTTGGTGATTTCTTCGACACGGCGCTCCTTCTTGCGGTAGTGGGCGAGCTCTTTGGCGCGCGCGGCGACGTTGGCCGAGACCGTCTCCCACGCATCTTCGATCGGGTTGGACGCACCATGCTTGCTCTTTTCTTTGAGATGCTCGACCTCCTTGTTGAGGCGCGCGATGACACGGCAAGCGGCGTCGTACTGGTACAAGGCGTGCGACAGCTCCTGCCTATTGCCAGAGTGAGCCATGCACGGCCACGAGACGCCGATGCGCGTACCGCGTTTGCTGCAGGTGCTTCTTGACCTGGAACATCTCGAGCGCATGCGCGTCGTACTCGGTCTGCAGCGCCGAGAGCAGCGACGGGATCGACGACGTGGCCTTGGACGGCGGCGTCACGTCGGTCGCGAGCGTCGTGAGCTTCAGCGGCAGCAGGTCCTCGGGCGACAGCGCCGACTCGGAGAGCGGGCAGACGTTGCCATGCGTCTTCATGTACTCCTCAATGAGGTGCTTCTCGTAGACATGGCCCGTCTTGACGTTGACGACCGGGACATGGCACACAGCGCCGCTCAAGCCGCAGAGCATCTTCACCGTTCAATCTAGGTTGCGTGGGAACCGCTGAATGGCCGACCTGCAGCAGTAACCTTTCAAACATTATATTCTGTATCTTTACATACTCGATATGCGCATCGCAACCTGTCCACAATAGATAATTATATCCACTTCAAAAGAGGATGTGGGCAGCTCGCGGGCCACCGCGGATCTTGCGCTCGGCGCCGGGCGCGGTCGTCTGCGCCAGCGCCGACGGCGTCTACAAGGCCGACGTCCTCCTGGACGCGGTGCATCTGCGCTGCTACCAGATCAAGGACGACTACCCGGCTGTGTACACGCTCGTCCGCCCGGCGAACCTGCCGATCGCCGCCGCCTTCATGGCCCCGCGGGCGTCGCGCTTGGCCGTACTCACCGAGACGAGCCTCGAGATGTACTTGTGCGCCAATGACATTGCAACTGGCGTCACGTTCAACTTTGCGCTCAGCATTACGCTCGGTATGTGCGCCGTCGCCAAGCACGCTCATGCCTGTTCGTTGCGTCCTAGGCACGAAAGGCGTCGAAGTCGCCACGACGCTGGCCGCGAACGAGCAGCACCTCTTCATTGGCACCTCGCTGGGGCGCATGATGGTGTTTCAATGGGCGGATCTGCGCGCGGGTGGCCACTTTGTGGCGCCCCTCGACGTGCTCGGCAGCCGCCCCACGTTGCCCGTCCTCACCGAGGTACACAGCTCGCCAGATACTCGATCATAGGCTCATGTCCTATGCCATAGCCATCGGCCGTGCGCTCGATCTCGTGCAGCAGCGCCACGTACGTGCTTACGTCGCTCGTGTATGTCTGCGTGTGCTTCGCGAACGGCTTTGCGGTGCTCCTGAGCTTTGCGCCGACGCACTTGCGCCTCGAAGAGATCGTGTGGCTCAACGAAGTCATCTCGACGCTTGGTGACGTGACCACATGCCACGTCGACGGCGAAGCGTCCCTCATCGCCCTCGGGTCGGCCTCGAGCCTCACGACGCTCCTTCGGCTGCGACACAAGCGGCCAACCGAGACCGAGTTTGACCGGTCCAGATCAGCCACCACGCGACGCTCTCGCTTGCAGTGTGGGGCTTTACACCCGACGACCTCGGTGCGGTCACTGCCTTGGCCTTTACCGACGACGGGCGCGCGATTGCAGTCGGCTTTCTGCTCCGCGGCATGGCGGTCTTCTCCATCGACAGCTGCAAGCTCATGTCGACCTTGCCGCAGCAGCTGGTCGCCAAGGACAACGAGCTGCTCCGGAACGGCGTCTCCTCGCTGCAGTGGACGAACGCGAGCAGCACGCTTCTCGTGACGCCCCGACTGTACGACAAGAACACGCCGCCGCCGTCCTCCTCGACAAGCGCGATGGACCCGTCGCCGTGCTATACCCTTGTGCATGTCGAGATGCTAAAAGAGCTTGACGGTCTCTGCCTCTCGCTGGCGGGCGAGCCTCTGCAGTGCGGCGCGTGGGTCCGCAGCGAGGCCCCGTTTGTGCCGCAGCCGTCGGACGGACTGCCCGGTCCAGCCGAGCGCAGCGGCCACATTATAGGCGGCGACCTAGTGGTCGCGATCAACGACCAAGCCGTGGCGCACTTGGCGTTCAACGATATTGTGGCGATCCTAAAAGAGCTCCCGTTGGGGTCGTCGGTGAAGCTCTCGCTGCTGCGCATCTCGTTCGCGAAAGCATTTGCGCTCGCGACACTTGCGCTCCAGTCGCATGCGTTTTGTTCGACGCACAAGCTCGCGCTCGACGAAGACCAGGTCGTGTGGGAGTACGCGCTACGCATGCAGGCGACGCTCGGCGACTGCGTGTCGCCCAAGCCGTCGATGCTCGCGTTCGAAGAGCGCGCCAAGTTTGACGGGTACATGGCCCTCGCCGGCCTCTCGAGTACTCTGGCTATGCATCGGTACCTGAAACTCTACCTCGCATGCTTTCCGCGCACAAACTGGCAGCCGATCGAGGCGCTCGACCACTTGCTGGCCTTTCACAACCCCGAGACGCCGCGTCTTCCGACCGCGACGCCGACGGCCGTGCTGGTCGACTTTGCACGCTCGGTGCTGCCGATGGGGAAGAGCGATTTGCATCTCCTCGAAGCGACGAGCATCCACGTGCTCGCGGCCAACTGCAAGAACGATCCGTGCGGCGTGCTCTCGTCCGTTGCGATCCCCGTGCCGAGCACGTACACGAACCAAAACAGCCCGATGCAGCTCCTCGCCGTCTCGTCCGACGATACCCGCGTCGCCGTCGCTGGAACCCGTGGCTTTGCCCTCCTCCACAAGGTACTTGACTCCTCGTCTCTCCGATCGAATGCATTCTGTGCGTGTAGCCCAAAGGCGCATGGCTCTGTTTCGGGAACGTCCACGACGAGCAAGCTTTCCGCGTGGTCGCGATGGACTGGTGGCACAACGAAGCGCTCGTCGTCCTCGTGCTCCAAGACGATCTGCTTCTTATTGACGTCTACGCCCGCGACCGCCTCGATGCCCGCTGCTGCCGCCTCGTCTTGCCGCCGACCGCGTTCTTTTACGCGATTGCCGTCGACCACGATCGCGTCTACTGCCTCTCGCTGCAGCAAGTGCTCGTGTACCGTATTGCGACGTCCGGGTCGGCCGACGCGGGGAGTCTCCGCTTTGAGATTGAGTTTGAGCGGGCCGAGGCGCTGCCGCGCTGCAACGCCATGGTCGGCCAAGCCCACTTGTTTGTGCCGATTCCGCGCCTCGTGCCACACTCGAATGCCGCATACAAGAAGAGCGGCGCGTGGTTCACCGGCTGGCTCGGTCTCTTGGGTGAATCGGACAAGTCGATGCTCTTGCCACGGTTTGCGCTCCTCGATACGCTCGGGTGTCTCTATGTGTGGGACCCCGAAACAAAGGAGCAGGTGCTCTTGGCCAGCGACATCTCGCACGTCTCGACCTGGCGTGGCCCGAGCGAGCTCCCGACACCGTGCACGCTCATGCACGGCTTGTATGGCCCCAAGGGCTTTCAGGCGTGGTGGCCGCTCCTGGACGGCGTCGACTTTGAGCCGAAAGCGCACGCCGATGCGCTCCGATCGTTTCTACAAGTCCACGATCCGATGCGCGCGCGCAGCATGGGCAAGCTCCACGGATCGCCCGATAAGATGGCCAACACATACTATGAGCTCTTGGCCGAGTATGGGGTCCAACTCGAGATCGCCAACGCCGAGCCAGAGTCGTCGGACGTTGTTCCGATCTCGGTGCACTGCATCATGGTCGATCCAGTCTTGAAATTCAACCCGGAAGTGCAGCTCGTGGGGATCCATGCCCGGTTCGGCGTCCTCGTTGGCGCGTTTCAAGACCAATATGTCGGCATCTACGACATTGCGGCTCGTGTCCAGCCGCTCTTGCACTCGCTTCTCTCGCTTTTGCTGGTGCAGAAGCAGTCGACGCTCGCGCAGGCGTGCTTGGAGGTCATGGCGGCGCGCCTCGGTCTCACGACGCCCACAAAAGAGCTCGTGCTCGTGACCGCACTCGACAATGCGTTTCAACGGGTCTGGCCGCGTGCGGTCGTCGAGCGCACGCTGCTTTTGCTCCAGGACCCCGAGAACGAGATGGAAACGTACTGTGAGATCGTGGCCAACGTCGCGCGCAAGGTCGAGCCCAACCGCCTCCCGCTCCTCTTTCCGATCGCGGGCGACCCGAGCGCGCTCCTCCAGCTCTGCCGGCAGCGCCACGAAGTGCGGACGGCCGCCAACTTTCTCTTGTGCCTCGACGAGTCCGTGAGCACGCCGACAGTCCTGACGCGGACGCGCACCAACAGCTTTGCGCAGTTCCAGTCGCGGAGCGCGCTCGCTCTCGAGCTCATTGTCGACTGCGTCGAGTGCGACGAAGACCATTTGGCGCTGCAGCTGGTCCGCGTCGCGCGCGCGTGGGAGCCGGGCCACTACTACCACGCGAGCAACGGCGCGTCGCCGCAGTACGAGCGCTACATTGACGAGCAGCTCGGGAAATATGCCTTCCAGGTACAGACTCCGCGTTGCGGCTTTTAGCGGACGATGGCCTGTGTGTAGATGCTTGTCCAGTACCGATTCGACAAGGTCGTATGGCTCCTCTCCCAGACCCAAGTGCCACTGCCCGTCCTGTTTGGCGACGATCTCGGCGTCCGTAGCGAGAGTCTCGCGCTCATCCACGAGCGCCTCGACGTTCTCTTGACGATGGACGAGCTGCGCTTGCTCCACAGCGCTGTTGCGGCAGCCAAGTACGAGCAGTGGGCCACGCTTCTGGATGCACTCTTGCACACGTAGAGATCCATGGGATTGTTATATACACAGAAAGGCCATTAGCCATGACGAAAGATGAGAAAGCCGATTTGGCCCAGGAAAAAATAGAGGAGCCTAGGAAGGGTGGGAAGATTAGGAGGGTACGAGGCCTCGAATGGACGTACTTTTTGACTTCATGCGTCACGAACGAGCCAAAGGACTTGCCGACAATGACGTGCCAGCTCCCGTCGTGGGTCTCTTCGATCTCCGTTTTGATCTGCTGCGCGACTTCGGTCCAGTGACTCTTCTCGCCCTTGTAGTACGCCTTGAGCGCGTTCGTGGCGCTCGCAATGAGAAAGTCTTCCATCTCGGCGCTGCTGTCTCGATGCGCGATGCGCAACGCGCCGACGCTCACGTCGTCCTTCTTTACCGCGGCTTTCGACATTCTTTTGCTGTTTCAAGTGTGTCCCTTCAAGATATATCCCTTCCGCCGACGCTTGGCACACTTGTCGTAGTTGCCCTTGCTTGTGGCACCAGACAGTAGCACGTCGAATGTGCTCTCGCCTTTCTCGTCGCTGCAATACAATGTCACTCGTACAACCTCTGGCAGAACCCAATTCAAGAGCTTTCTGGACTATTACTGCACAGGAAGCTAGCGCCTCCGTCGCAACGACGAAGTGCCCTTGCACGTGCAGAAAGCAGTCTCCCAGATACGCCAAAGCAGCCACGTAGCTACGTCCGTACACTGTGCCAGCGAGATGACGTGGCACGCCCTGCGTCGCCTTCGGATCCGGATAATGATGCATCCGGATAGCCTCGAGCGTTTTGGTCGCAACCGCTTGGAGCATCCACGTGCGAGGATGGGCCGCAACACGCAGGCCGCCGACCCATGGGAGGTCGTCGAGAAGTGCGTGCGATACCTCGAGGGTACTACCGCTGATGGACGCTCCGTGGCAGCATGACAAGCGTGCGTAGGGCTCCACCTCCCGGACGTGCTCTACCAGCGCTGGGACAGCATGGGTGATGTCCGCCACGTCCAACGTGGCCTCGCCACCCGGCGCCATGGTGTCCTTGACAGCGTCATGGACCCGTCCGTGATCGTGAGCGTGCTTGAGACGCAGCTCCGCGATCTCCACTCGCGCGAGTACTTGGTGTTCTCGCCCTTTCTCTACAGCGAGCTCCTCGACCTCGGCCGTACCATCGTGCCTCGATTCCGCTTTGCTTATCGCGCTCTTCTGCTAGGTGCTGTCGGGCGCAGCGACCACGAGACCTTGGTGTGGGTGCGAGCATTGTATGCGCGAACGACCGAGCCGTACCGGAGCCGTATGCACACGATGCTCGGCTTTCTCGCGACGCAGTGTGACGTGGCCGATATGGACAAGACACTGTACATCGTCGAGCGCTATGCGCCCATGCTCCTGCGCGACGGCAGCAGCGCGTACATGTCGCTCCACCACATGGAGGGCTTTCCCGCCGCCACCGAATGCCTCCTGCTCTTCTTGACGCATCTGGAGCGTCTCGACGGCGGACTCGTGCCAACGACGCTCCTCCAGCACATGGATGAGATCTTGCACGACACCGTGCACGCAAGTCTCTTTGCCTCACCAGCGCCTCGTCGCCGCATGACAGGTACACGAACGAGA